GTTCTCGCGAGACCGCCGGCCCCGCTCGCACGGCCCACTGGGCGGGCCCGCCGCCGCTCAGCCGATGGGGGCTTCCGGTCCCGCCCCGGAAGCGGGAAGTGGCCGGCCGGGTTCCTGGGTTAGTAAGCGCGGGGACGCCCGCCGCGGTGGGTGTTTCACGCTGGGGCGTTCGGATAGAGGGAATGGAGCCGAGCACGCAGAGGCTCGCTGCTCACCGTGGCGGCGCCCCGGGCCCGCCCCTGAGGCTGGCTTTGCTCCCCACCCCGCTGCGCCCCTTCCCTCCTTGCGGCCTCGTTACTGACGCTCACCCCGCCTGGCCCTGCCGTGCGGCCCGGCCTGGACACTGTAGGATGGTCAGCAGCTCGCCGGTCTCTGCGTCCGCTTAGATCTGAGCTTCGGCCCGGCCAGCCCTAGTGTGACAACCAGAAGCGTCCCCAGACATTGCTAAAGGACCCCCGGGGTTCACTTGTGCCATTGAGAGCCAAGGACTTAAGATAACCAGGCTGCAGCCTGTCTCAGCCTTCTAAGAGGCCACCCCGGACCACGCGAGGTCACCCTGCTGGCATCTCAAGGCCCAGCCGTCGTCCTACAAGGCCTGTTGGGCCAGCCGGTCAAAGGTTATTTCACCCCATGCTTTTAACCCTTCCTCCATAGCACCTCCTCCATTTCTGTTTATTCGTGTGTGTGTGTGTTTAACACAAGGTCTCGCCATGCAGTTCAGGCTGGTCTTGAGCTCCCTTTGTAGCCCGGGCTGGTCTGGAACTCCCAGCAATCCTCCTGTCTCAGCCTCCTGAGTGCTGGGATTACAGACGTGCGCCACCACGCCCAGCTTCTCTGTTTATTCTTTTGCCTCTCTGGCCTGTACACGTTCCCCACAGGTGCCGGCTCCGTGGTGGCAGAGTTCTAAGGCGTCCTCCTCACCGTGCCACAGCCCGTAGGACAGTGCCTGACCCTTCCTGGACTGGCAGAGTATCTTCCAACAGTGACCCCCAGCAAGGCTTCAGAAACTGAGGTCTGCAGCTCCAGGGATTCAACGAGTGTAAGACCAGTTCATCCTTCCTCCATCCTAGCTCCAGCCAAGACTGGCGTGGAGCCACACCCTGAGAAGGGGGCTGGGCCAGGCGTTCACCGGGATGAGTAATCCCGCCAATAAGGTGAAAGGGGCATGCACTGTATTTTTTTAATGTCTGGTGAATAGACTGATTCATAGCACCGTGCTGGCACACAAGAGGCAGTGCGTGTTTATTAAATTCATGATGAGAGAAGAGCTAAATGCCAGAACTGGACCTTCTCCACCTATTAGTGCTAATTGTTCATCGTATGTCAGCTCAGACGTCACTTTCCTAGCCCTCTTGCACTAAATCAGCTCCACCTTTTCCTGTGTCATTCCTTACACATTTCCATGTTCTTTATACAGATTCTTACACATTTCTCTCACAACATCCGTTATAATTTATAATTGTTTATTTTGTGGAACTACTTAATGTCTGTCTCAAAATTCTTATTAGTACATGTTTGCAGTAGATAATGCTTACGTTCCTTGTGGGGAGCTGGTACATGTACATAACACATCTTAATTTTTTTTACGTCCGTTTCCCTTCCCTCTGTCTCTGTCTTTAAAGCTGAAAGGGCTGGAATCTTACGTGTCTGTTCACTGCCGTACTCCTAGAGTCTAAAATAGCACCCGCCAATGATAACTTTCTGTGAAATTAACTAAATGATCATTTGTTGGATTGTAGGTGCTGGGACGACACCTTACATTTATATTAGCATCCTAGCTCACTAATTGAAAAAGCAAACCTGAAAGATTTCTATCCAGTCACGGGTCTGGCAGGCAGTAGGACTCAGATAAGAAAAGGTCTTGTGCCTGATTCTTAGTTCTAGTGTTTTCTCAATGTTCCCAAGGGAAGGGAGACAGAATCTTTTTTTTTCCTAAGACTAGAAAGCCTGAAACAGGCAAATCTAGAATGAAGTTGACGTTGTGAAGCATGGAGTAGCTTGCGTCATGTCCTAACCTGGTGTCCCTGGCTGGCCTTCCTGGAGGAATACAAACGTAAGTGTCAAGATTCGGGGAGAGCAGTCTCAGAGCTGAGTGTGTACACTGAGGAATTTCTGTTTTTGAGACAAGGTCTCCCTACGCAGTTCAGGCTGGCCTTGAATTCACTGTGTAGCCTGGGTTTGCTTTGAACTCAGGGCAATCCTCCTGCCTCAGCTTCCCAAGAGTGCTGGGATCACAGGTGTGCGCCACCATGCCCACTACGCTGAGGGATTGTGAGGAGTATTCCAAGGTCCTCGTTTTGGCACCTTGAGGTTGCAAAACACATCCAGCACGTAGAGATGATTTGATTGCAGTGTTTAGAAAAAGAAGGGGGTGGGGCTGGGGATGTAGCTCAGTGGCGGTGCCCTTGCCTGGCGTGTGTCAGTCCCTGGGTTCAAGCGCGCCGAGAGCACACAGTGCGCGGTGACGTGGATACAAGCGTCTGGAAGAGTCTGAAGCAGGGACAGCATGCGGATGAGTGGCTCAGTTGCCGCATGGGGGGTGAGGCTGGGGAGTGACTAAGCAGTGTGACGAAAATGTTCTCAAATGGATTGCACTGGTGCTGTGCACACCCTAAAGCCGCTGAGCTGTACATTTGAAGTGGGTGAAAAACAGAATGAAAGTTTCACATATGAATGTGGATTTCCTTTGCCCCTGGCACAGGAATGTGAGCTCTGGCCACCCTGGGGCTGTGGTTGCCCGTTCACTGATCCCCATGCCCCCTCGGGCCCCTGGCTTCCCTTGAACCACGCGTCCCGGGGGTCAAGCATAGTCCTGCTAGGTCACGGCACCACAGGCGTGCTTTGACCAAGGGTTGCAGCAGCGTCCTGGGCCGGGTCTGGGCTTCGGGGCCGGCAGCCCCGCCTCTTGTGCCTTGGAGGCCTGAGCCACCGTTAGAAGTCCAGCTGCCTCGCTAGCACGGTCACCTATTGGGGAGAGCCCACAGCCTCGCGGGGACGAGCCGCCGACCTGCCCGCTGAATGCGGCCGTGAAGATGAGCCTCCTCAACCGAGGACCAAAGGGGTTGATTTTAAACCACCGCGGTCCGGGAGAGTCTGCTGCCTCACCTGGAAACAGGTAACGGAGACGCGGCTCCCTGACGTCCCCCATCCACAGTCTGCTCACAGCAGGTGGCTGCCGCCGCCACCTTCACATGGAGGACATACTTCTACACGTTAATCATCCCTACTTTCAGCTGTTTTATCGTGGCAGCAAAGTTAATCTCCACACCTGTGCTGTGCAGCGAACAGCTACTAGCCACGTGTGGCTAAGTTAGTGGAAATTAAAGTGGAAGTCCCGCCTTTCGGTGACACTAGCTCAGTGCTCTGTGGCCACGTGTGACTGACGTGGCTGCCGTGTTGGCCAGCACCATTCTGATCACGCCGCGCCGTGCCACTGTGACACGGGTGTGACCGGTCTCTCGCCCAATGCGTACACCCTCGTGCTTCTCCCACGCAGAATCCTGACTCCGCTCAGGTATTTATTCGTCCTCCTCACCCCTGCCCTCTCCAGCTGCTCCTGTTGCTCAGGAGAAACTGGCATCACCTTGGCCTCTGATCTGACTAATGCCTGTAGCACAGCCCAGGCCAGGCCTCTTTATGGTGACGGCTTCAGGACCAAGGCTTGGACCGTGCAGGGTGAGAACCCTCCCGAGTGCCGGAGTGGACGGGGGACGGAAGTTGCGTCATAGACGAAAGGAAAGGATCACGCTCAGCCGGAGATGCCCTTGGACAGCAGCCTGTGGCCGGTATTGCACAGCTGTGAGATGAACCGGGTTAGGAGCAGACAGGCAGGCGCCACAGTGGAGAATGGGGAGAAGTTAGTAAGAGAATGAACCTGAGCTTGGTTCACACACTGTGGAGTTTCTGGTATTTGTAGCCCAAAACCATGTATCATGAGCCTATCCAGAAAATAGAGGGCGCAAGAGAACGTCGCCTAGGGGCTGGGGATTTAGCTCAGCGGCACAGTGCCTGCCCGGCAAGTGCAAGGCTGTGAGTTCGATTCCCGATACCGAAAAAACAAAACAAAACAAAACAAAAAAAAGAGTGTTGCCTAATTTTTGCACATGCCTGGCCTGCTTCATACCTTGAGTCCTTTGCTGGCCCCTGTGGGGGTGGACTGCAGTCCCAGTAGTGAGTCCGCAGGGGTTGTGTGGCTAAAATCAGATGTCAATTGACTTAATACTCGTTGGCAACTAAAACCTTTTAGCCTTTGCAGCTAAGACAATCCTGTGACCTAACTCACACGCCAGGCGTCTGCTGTGCGGCTTTGGCAGTTGTACCTCGCCGGCTGGACACCCGCAGCCGAGCTCACGTGGAAACATGCAGCTCGTCTGAGACGCGGCCCCTCCTCCAGCCCTGGCCTGGGCTCAGCGCAGAGGACATGCCCTTGGAGGCAGCGAGTTCAAAACCAGCAGAGCCGGGCCAGGCCAGGGGCTGCCCGGCTTCCCGGACGTCCTCGTGACATCTCGGGTTCTCTTTCACATCTCCCTGGAGTTGCAACAGTTGTTCAGAGTTCAGCTTCCTCAAAAGTTTGGTTTGCAAGAGGCCAGCATGGCCTTCCTGCCCTCTCTGCACGTCACGCCCTGAGCCCCTAGCCCGAGAGTCACGGGGCAGGCTCAGCGGGGACGGGGTTGCTCTTCTGCTTCTCTGGATGCCTGGCTTCTGGCTCATCTCCCTGCCGGGACGAGCGGTCACCCGCCACAGTCACTGCTCCTGCAGCCTTCTAGCCGACTGCACATAGCCACAGTAAAGGCAGGACCACCCCGGACGGAAGCAGGGCTCCTATTCTGAGTCCAAACCAAAGCCCTGCGAAGCTGCTCTTAGTGTGCGTTAATTCAGCCCTCAGGACCCCTGGGGTTTATTTTTATAGAGGATGTGAAACTGTATGGTCCAAAAGACAGGTTTTGATTGGCTTTTCGCAAGCACTTGTTTTATTTCACCCCGTAAGAGAAACCTCTACTTACTTGGGGATTTTTTTCTCCTGTTTTCAACAACCGGTGAGACAGCTGCACCAGTCAGGGATTCACCTACAGAGGGGCTGCAGCAGTGCGGGGGGGAGAGGTAGTGAAAGAAAATGAACTGCTTCCTCCTGTTCCATCTGGTGCAAGATGTTAACAAGTGTGCGGCCGCACCTCTTCTAACTGCCGCTTCTGTCATTCCTTTTAAGGAAACTTTACTCATTTTTCTTTTCTCTTTTCTTGTTTTTTTTTTTTTTTGCAGTACTGGGGCCTGAACCCAGGGCCTTTGCACTGAGCTGCATCCCCAGCCCTTGTTTAGTTTGTATCTTGAGACAGGGCCGCGGCTGGGCTCAGACTTGAGCCCTCCTACTTGAGCCCTCCTTCTCCCTCTGACCCTCCTACTTCATCCTCCTGAGTGGTGGGATTGCGGGTGTGCACTGCCATCCCTGGCTCTGCATATGTCATGTATATTTCGATCATAAAATAATCAGTAGCCGTAAGTGTGTGCCTTTTTTAAGATTAGGACTTACAGGCAAGATCAAAGGAAAAGAACCGAAGCACAGCTATAACATACCTCTCTCAGCCTGTGCAGTAAAGGGATTTCTAGTCCACAGAGAAAAGGATGAACTGTTCAGTAAATCCTGCTGGAAAAAGCAACCACATGTGGGGAAAGTAGGCTTCATGTTTTGTACTGATGTAAGTCACAGATAGATAAATATTAAAATGAAGAAACCAACAACATGAAAGCACTAGGGGAAAATCGGCAAATATAAAATCTTGGAGGGGAATTTTAAAGGCTAACACGGAAGTGAGAAGCTATTTATTGAAAAAGTTGACTATGTTAAGATTTAAAGCCAGGCATGGTGGCACATGCCTGTAATCCTAGCATTCAGGAGGCTGAGGCAGGAGGATCTTTGGGAGTTCGAGACCAGCCTGGGCTACAAAGTGAGCTCAAGGCCAGCCTGAACTGCATAGCAAGACCCTGTCTCAATAAGATGAAAAAACAAAAAAGACTTAAGACTGCGCCTGCCTGGCAAGCACAAGGTCATGAGTTCGATTCCAGGTACCAAAAAAAAAAAATTTTAAAAGTTAATATGTATAAAAACGAATAATCATAGTCAACTGCAAAAAAAACACCTGAATATCTTTAATTCATATAACAAAGTTAATATCCTTATTTTGTGAAGAGTTCTTTAGACTCTTACGAAAAGGTACACAGCGCATACATGAGACAGTGTGGGAATGGCCAGGCCCTTCGGAGGAGAGCTGCTGTTTGTCCCCTGAGCGCAGGTCCCTCGCGTGACTGTAGCTCCACTTTCCTAACTTCATTCATGGTGCCTTGGGTGGAGGACTGGTTACACCCAGGCACGGAACTGGACATAGACCTAGGCCTGTCTGATCAGCAGCATCTTGGCTGTTGAGCTACTGGTTCAGAGATGGACGCCCACGTTGGTGTGAGTTCCGGCCAGGACTTTTCTCAGTGAGTGACCTAAGACTGTATAATCAGCAGCATCCCATCAGTAGAGCCACAGTGAGGGCTGCAGGGATGGGTGTATCCAAGCCAGTGAGAGCTACAGCCAGGATTGACTCTGGAATGTACAGGAGGAAGAGTCACGTTTCCACTGAGCTTGGTGTAGGTGTTATGGCTCGTGCTGTAGCGGTTGCTGTGATTGTCGTTTTTGTTTTGAGCTGTTATAAAAATAGATAGAAGCCTGCAGTTGTCAGGGATTGTTCTTGAAACTCAAAAATCAAACAGTGCAGAAGAAGGTGGAGATGAGAGAAAGACTGTTTTTAAAAGGTAGTTTGTTCTGGGCGTGGTGGCACACAACTATAGTCCCAGCACTCAGGAGGCTGAAGCGGAAGGAGTGCCTCGAGTTCTAGCCCAGCCCGGGCTACATACTGAGTTCAAGGCCCACGTGACTGCATAGCAAGCCCCTGCCTCAAAACAAAATGCAAAAAGATAGCGTACTTATCTTGGTTCTGGTCATAGCTAAAAGTAGCTTTCTCTGTGACATTTCAATCTTGAATTCATAAATTCTTTTCTTGGTTAAGCAGATGTGACTGACTTGTAATTGCAAAAAGTCCCAGCCTATTCAAGGAATACTGTACATACATATGCGTACACAAAGAAATTATATAAATGCTTTTCATGAAAAAATCAAATTACACCCGTAATTTTATTTTATTTATTTATTTATTTTTTCTTTCTTGCTGTGTAGCCCAGACTGGCCTTGAACTCAGAAATCCTCCTGCCTCAGCCTAACAAATGCTAGGATTATAGGAATGTGCCACTATGCCTGGCTATACTGGTAATTTTAAAATTCAAAAGGGGGGCTGGGGATTTAGCTCAGTGGCAAAGTGCCTGCCTGGCAAGCACAAGGTCATGAGTTCGATTCCTGGAACTGGAAGAAAAACAAAACAAACAAACAAAAAAATTAAAAAGGGGACGTGTGTGGTCACTTGATGTGAAAAGTAGGTTGCACTGGCCATGTTTGGGAAACGAGTATGGGCACAGAAGGCCACCGGAAGGTCAGTCGTGTGACTTTCTGGAGGGCCGTGCATCCGCTGCATCCGAAGCACCTTTGCTCACACTCCGTGCAGTTTTCCTCAAGGAGCAGGGTGGGAACATTTTCCCACCTCAGGATCCACAGGCCGCACCCATGTAGCCACGAGGGAGCACTGGACCCTGGATGCAGTGTCCACCTGGCCATCACCGTGAGCTTGGCTTTGCGTCCTGGAGCAGAGGGGCCAGACTCGGCCCGCAGGACTGTGGGCTCTGGAGCGGGCGCTGTTGGAAGCAGACTGATTTGTTACACAGCGGTGGAAACCTCACACAGTCGTCTGTCCTGAGTACCCCCCGCCCGCAGCCCTAATCCGCAGCATCCTTTGGGCACCTGCGTAGGATACATGTTCATTCTGCCGTTGCTGAAAATAGCGAACAACTGGAAACAGCAAATATGTCCACAAAGGCGGCACTGATCGAAACTCACAGTGCGCCCGTAACCGGGGCCCTGCGTGTGGTGCTTCCCCTGCCCTTTGCCTCAGGGCCCATGAGCTGGCGGCCGCTGCAGCTCAACAACTGGCAATGCCAGCAACGGGGAATCTGCAGCATGGAAGCCCTGGACCTCGGGTCTGTCCCTTTAAACAGGATGGTTTCTCACCGGGGCTCACCTTCATCAGCTTCTGACCCCCAGAGCAGCTCAGCTAATTCGGGAATTCAAACCCTATCTGCAGTTCCTCTTCCAGCAGGCCCTGAAAGGGTGTGCTCTAGGGGATGTGCCAGAATTTGGGGCGGGGCTCCTCCAAGGGGCCTATCATGATTATTCAGTAAAATAGGACATGCTACAAAAATAAAAAAGTAGAGGGCTCCATTTTTGTAACAACAGCAAACAAAAACAATAAAAACACCAAAAATACGATATCCATGTAGTAGAGCCAGAGCAACGGGAAGCACCCCCGCCACTGCGGTCCAGGAGGCCCCGAGGCTCGAGTGTGGAAGGGGCCGTGAGCGGGTCAGGGGCTGCCCTGTGCTGAGGCTGGCGGGACTCCCTTCTGAGAGCAGGGCTAGGCCACGGAGCGCCCCGCACACAGCGCTGCTCTGCGACTGCAGAGCCTGGAAAACCTCAAGTGTGAGTAGCGGTCATCTCAAGGCTGCGGGACATCGGGACATCGTGTGACTTTCACTGTTCTTCTCTTGCTCACATTGTTTTCAAACTCACTTGCTTATTCCCTAAAAGGAAATTTAAAAGGACTTCTAAGAAAGACAGCCTCCCAGTCCCAGGCGCGGCTCCCGTGGGGTGCACCTGTGTGCGGCCGTGGGGAGGCGCTCAGGAGGGCACGTCCGCGCTGTGAGCTTAGGCATCGGCTCAGGCGGGTTTTGATGGCAGAGCCACCTGCCGGACCCTGGTGTGTGCCCTTGGCAGTCCTGACAGCCAGTGTAGTACTGTGCAGCCAGCCGCTTTCTTTTTTCGCAGTTGGTCACTTCCCAGTTGTTCAGTGAGTCAGGGTACAACCAGGGCACACAAACCACAGTTCCACATCTTTCTTCTTCTTGTGAAAGTCTTCGTCTCTGTCTTCCTCCCCTCCCCTC